AAAAGGTTTCATTGTAGTCTTCCCATTGTCTGAATTGAAATTAATAGATTTCTTTTCCTGCTGTTTTGATATGTTTGGAATGCAGGTACATAATTAGATGAGGAAGAATGTTTATTAAAGTCTCACCAAGCTTGTTGGCAATATCTGATTTATTAGTCAATAATTGATTCCCATCTTCAGATGGTGAATGCTAGATTTAGAACCCTTACCTTTGATTTTCTGGATCATGTTCCATACCTTTGACATTGGCGTGCGTGAATGTATTTTGAAACATAATTTTGCCAAGACTGACGTTTGTTTTGTTTAAAAGTACGCCTTGTTTTAGCGCGTTTAAAATTTTGAACTTATTTAAATTGTGGACCATAGGATGGCGACGGAAATACTGTTCAGCTTTCTTCCGGGCCTTCCTAGCTTGTTTGCAGTCAGCGTTAAACCATGGTTTACGTATGTGGATTGGAAGAGGACTTCGAACACATTCATCAGCTATTTTAAGAAGTTCGTTAGAGAAGAGTGTTACAGGGTCGGGAACATCAAAAAAAGCACCAGGTGTAAGTTTAGTAGAACAACGAAGTTCATACAAATCCCAGTTGGCTTTAGCAAAGTTCCATCGTGATGATGGAGGAACATCAGAAGGTGTCACAGATTTCAATATGGTAGGAAAATGGTCACTTCCACAGAGGTCATCGTGAACTGACCATTCAAATTCACTCAGTAAATTAGAGTCAACAATGCATAAATCCAGACAAGAGTAAGTTCCAGTCCCTGGATGTAGATATGTATGAGAACCATCATTAAATATGCACAAATCATTGTTTGAGAAAAACTCCTCCAAGATTTTACCCTTTGTATTGATGTTATTACTACCCCAAAGCGGGTTATGGCCATTTAAATCTCCCATGATGACACAGGGCTTTGGTAGCTGGTCATATAATGCTTGAAGATCAACCTGTCGGAGACAGAACGAAGGTGGAACATATAAAGAACACAGGGTAAAACGATATTTAGGGTTACTCGCACAGCAACAGCCTGGAGAGGGGTATTAAGAGGAACAGGACTGTGAATGACGCCCTGCCTCACCATAACAGAAGATCCTCCAGAAGCTTTATCACCCGGAGGAGAGAAGTGATGATATGAGTTGTAATATCTCAAGTCAAAATTATCTGTAACTTTAAGGAAAGTTTCTGTAAGCAAAAAGGCTGATGGTTTTAGATCTTGTAATAATAGCTGAAGATCATTAAAGTTATTACGAAGTCCCTACAATTCCATTGAAGTAAATTAGTGGAGGAAGTCATGGTGGTTCAATGGGAGATCGAGCACGGGAGAAGGACCTCTTCGCTGATCTGGCAGCGATGGAGTGACCTCCTCCATGTCCAGAGGTTCAAAGGTGTTGTGAACCTCTACAGGGACGGATAAAGGGCAGCCACTTCCAAGTGTTTAAGTGCCCTAATTTCTTTTTAAGTTGTTTCCGTTCTTTGTTCGTGAGACGTTTAGGTTTGGTTACTGGTGCTGTCTGGGTTTCAGGGTCTGGAAAGAATTTGAGGTGCTGGCAAATTCTTGAGTCTGATGGAGTGGCAGACAATGCTGGAAGCGGAAGGTCTGCTTCAATATCAGTATCTGTCTGAGTGGCAGCACCATTTCCGGTACCAGAAACGCTGTACAAAACAGTTTGGTCGTCTGAGACCCAGGTGATTGCAGTTTGACAGCCCTGATCAACCTTTGGGCAAGGAGTAGAAACAGCTGCTGCGTAATGTTTTGGTAGAAGACAAGCGACTATTAACTGGTAATAATTTCTTTGCTTCATTGAAGGATATATTGTTGGTATGCTTCAATTTCAAAATTTGTGTTTGCATGTCATATGCTGGACATAATTTGGAAAATGACACATGGTCACCGTTGCAGTTTGCACATTTAATTTCATTTGTACAGTTGACGTTTTCATGCGTTCCACCACAACGGGAACAAACTGGGGAACTGCGACATGACTTAGCTCCGTGTCCAAACGCTTGACATTTGAAACATCGAAGTGGATTTGGGATATACACTTCCACATCGATGTTAAAATATCCCGCTTTTATTGATTTTGGTAGTGACGTGAGACAGAAGGTAAACAGGTAGGTATTGGTCTTAATTATATCATCACCGTTTTTCCTAGTGAATCTCTTGACAGAGGTGACACCTTGGGCCTTCAGTTCAGAAGCAATTTCTTCCTCTGACATGTCAGCGAGACATTTAGCTCGATCACGGATTATGCCTCTGCAGGAATTAAGTGTTTTATGGATTGACACAGTAATCCCAGTATTTGCAAATTGACGAGCTTCGAGCAAATTGACAGATTGGTCTCTTTGCACATTCAACTAATAGAGAACCTGTCCTGAGACGTGTGACATTTTTCACTTCACCACATATTCCAGCAATGGCCTTTGATATGGCAAAGGGTTAAGCTTTAAAGGTTGTCCATCAATTCTCTCACAACCAGAAAGCGTGGCCAGGAATCAATACTGACTGCAGCAGAATCATCATCAGAAGATGATAAAGCATCTGTTTCAACATGTCGCCTTTTATTTTTGATCGAGAACCAGGTAGAATTTGGGTAGCCATAATAAAAACGGAAATTCGACAACCCTGCTCCCCACCCCCACCATGGAGTGTCAACAAGAACGGTGTCGAAGTGGAAACCGACTCCGAAACACCAGGGCTACAGGGTTGCTATACTCGAGCAATACAGACACAGGTAGCTAAAATTGTCAAACAGAATAAAGGTCAGGCTGGTTCCGCCCATGGCGATTATCTGAAGACACTTAGAACCCGGAGGTCAGTAATGCCAGATTGGCCCATGAGCCACCGCCTTCTGGCATAGGACTCTAGGCAGAGTAACAATTTTCCAACGTAAGAGTATCACAACAGCATTTCTAGGAAAAGATACAGAGATATACATAATGTGAAGTTGACCATGCACAGGGCATGACATGACCAGCCGATTGGTAGAACCGGGCCCGTTCTACCACCCGTCTAGGTGAAGTAAGGGTCGAAGTGGTGTGTTGGGCAAAAGGAACACTGTTCCTGGCTCCTGTGCCCTCAACCACCAGAATCCCGTCCTCCACCGACACAGGGGCGCAACCCACGGCAAACGGGTTGGTGGACCTAATATTCCCCCGGGTCCACAACGGGGGTTGAAGGGCGCTTAGCGTGACCCAGCACCCACCACGAGGAGGTGGCCCTTCATGGGTGCCATCACGCAAATGATGGAGCAGACATTTGCAAACGGTGCGTCAAGCAAAATATAATATATTATCCCAAAAAATTCTATTAATCACCTATTGTGTTCACACAATCGTCAACATATGTAACAAAAGTGTTGATAACATGGTTTTACACATTTGCACAAGTAAAAAATCGACTTTACCTGAAAATGTATATTTTGATGAGATTTCTTACAAGGATTAAAAAGGCATCACTACAACGCAACAGAAATCACCTCCCAGTTGAGAGAGCATTCACTGTCTGGCTATAAAAATCCAGATTACTTTCAGAATTCGGCATTCGTTTTAAAGGCGTTTCAAGGTCAAATCACTACGCTGCGACACCGAACATCGCCATTGAAAGAATGTACGCTGAGGATTACCAATCTTCTGTTGTCAGGGGTCTGAATTAGTCTGAGCACGATATCACGGCTTACAGCTCGTTACAACCAAACAGGCATAACAAATGACCATCCCCGTACAGGCAGACCTCGAGTCACCACTGCAGCCCAAGATCGGTACATCCGGGTTATACATTTGCGTGATCGTACTGCCATGGGTGAGATCACAGCAGCCAGGGTACCTGGACTTCGGAGGATATCCGGTCAAACGGTACGGAACAGGTTGAGAGAGATTGGACTGAGAGCCAGGAGATCCGACGTCGGGACCGTGCTACGTCGTTACAATGGGGCTCAACGTCTCCGTTATCTAAAATTATAACATTTCCTTCTTCTAAACTGATGCAAAAAATCATGTACTAAAGTCTATTTGTGGACGAGTTATACATGTGTGAAAAAACAACATTTTCACAACAGATTTCTGGGTTATGCGTTCTTTTTTTAATAGTATAATATTTTTTGCGTTCCATGGCGACAAGCATGATTACGCGGTTATTGGCGGTACAGCTCTTTTCCGGAGCAGAACTTTGTTACCGTTCAGTGTTTCTTCACCACACTGGCACATAGATAGATTTGGTGGTGAACTGGTGCCTTTTGGTAGTTTTGGATTTCTGAATAAAATATTGTTTGCGTTTCCATAGCAAAAACTTTAACTTTAACTAAACTTTTCAATACTCTTTTTCCACTAAACTCACTCACTTGGGGTATCCAAGAACCTAATGAAATAAATCAACAGTACCACTCTATAACATTACTGAGGAACATCACACTGTACATTTGACATAGTCATAACTAATTCACATATTCATGAAGAGTATTTTACCATTGCGGGGGATATTGATGACTTTGTCTTCCTGTCTCTATTATTTGCATGTATTTTAAAATAAACTGTACTGGTGATTAGTCAGCACTCTAAAACTATCTCTGCATTATTGTAGTTTCAATACGTTTTTTTCATTATAAACTTCTAAAAATATGTTCCACATGTTACACAGCTGCTGATTGGTATTTGCCTGTTCTTCAATGCATTACATTCGGTGACAAGTTCATTTGTTCACCCAATCTTCAAAAAAACATTTTGAACAAGCAACAGGTTACTTTATGCAATGTTTTTGTCGCTTCTTTTGTTCAAAACACGTCAAATGACTTTAAGTAATCAAAGATCATCAAGCATCACACTTGAGTCATTATGTACATTATTTGGCATGCCCGTCTGTACCAAGAACTCCACAGACACATGAAATACAATTTCTTTAAAATCATATGGAACTCAGACAATGTGTATGGCACAGAAAGAAAAGAAAAACATTCGGACCAGCGATGTCGAATTATTTTTAATAAACGTGACTTTTTTTCTTAAGCGATGGATTTACCCCAGAAGGCAGCAACTCAAACTGAAGATACAATTACATCATGCGACGTTACCGACAACACTCATTCCGACCATGGTGGGGACGAGGAGCAGGCAAGAGGAAACTGGGGCTCGCAAGTGCAGTACCTTTTGACAGTCGTTGGCTATTGTGTTGGCCTTTCAAATGTGTTGCGTTTCCCGTACATCTGCAAAACAAATGGTGGAGGTATGCATTCCAAATACAAATAAATATGCTTTTAAGCAAGCTTTTAGCAGTGGAATGCGTGCTTTCTAGAGTGCTTGTGTTTGTGACAGTTGGGGCGGGATGAATATGCTCTATGGGAACACCAGGTATCATTACTATTTGATAGTAATAAACACGTGTTCGCGATATACATGTAGTCGGATTCGTACGTTGTCTCTGATTGTTTTTCTCAGATGTATTACAGTTGCTTAAAGGGTTTTCGTTGCCATTATTTATCACATTGCCCACTTTACGGAAAGACAGTCAATTAAAAGTAATCCAGAGATAGCTATAACTACAAGACAATGTTCATGAAGGTCAAAGTAAACGACGGGGCTTTCCCCAACGTCTGATATACCAACAATTAATAATCAGTGAATGGATCGGTGATGAAACCATGTTTATCATAAAAAAACTGTGTTCCACTGGATATATTGCTTATGTGATATCAAACGATATCTCCAAGGAGATATCGTTTTGTCAGTAGACTTTGTACAATGCCCTGACAATGCTATGACATCATGAACGTGATGGCGTCACAATGCTATGACATGGCTGCACTGCAAGTCTAATGGCAGTACCGTCTTCGGAGATGTACATTTTTCATTGAAAACTAATGAAGAGTTTGTTTTTATGATATATAGAATCTCACCCTCGTGTCTACTGATATCAATTATATCAACACTCGTTGATAAAAGTAAAAATATCCTCGGCAATCCTCGGATATTTGTAACTTTATCAACTCGTGTTGGTATTATTGATATCAGTAGACACTTGGGTGCGATTCTCTATGTATGTATTCCGAGGCAATTAAAAATGTGTCCAATATGAGTGAGTGACTTCCTGTAACCACTGAAATGTGATCTCTTAAGACAAACACTGAGAACGTATGCCACTCTAAAATGAAACCACACTTAGATTGTTTTCCCGTGTTTTCTCGCAGGTGCCTTTCTCATCCCTTACATTTCGTGTCTGCTGCTTTGTGGTTTGCCGCTGTTCTTTCTGGAAGTTGTTATAGGACAGTTCCACGGGAAAGGTGCCGCTCATGTGTGGGGTGTATGTCCCTTGATAAAAGGTGGGCGTCTTCTTACAGTATGCCAATTTACGATACAAAAGCCAAGCCCATTTGAGTAATTTTCCGTTTGCAAAGAAGGGCTGTTGATTTATTTGAACAGTCAGTAATGCTTCCTCACTATTGGTAACTTTGTGTACGAAAATACTAACTGATATGCCATAGGTTAATCTTCTCTGTTTCAGTTCGAATATTTGATTGACTACACTCATACTTCTCATTTAAATGTCGATCTGTGATTTGTCTGTTATTGCCGACAAATGTATAAAATTAACCGTGAAGATTGTTCATCCGAGAATGCATAGGGTAGTCCTTTGGAAATCTGAGAGAACACAGATGAGTTAATACCAACCTAATTTTGTATCAGAATATATAGATTGCAGGATCAACTATAAACTATAGAAGTTTGATAGGTAACTACACTAACGGAAAAAAGTAACTGTACATAACATTAAATTGCATAAAATAAAAGTTATTTGAAAAGTTATAAAAATGAACTTAATTGGTTGTTTTTTGACACCTGAAGGTCACACACCTGATATTGAAAACTGAAGAACGGTTAAGTATTCTCTTCCCTCTGAATGTTTAGGAAAATACGTTGATTTCTATCTAAAGTACGCGTACGTATGCCACAGATTACAGGAAATCAGCGTCTCTGCGCTGTGGATACTGGAGACTGGAATTGGCCAAAATGAAGTGGTCAGACATTTGGTGTCCATCAAAACACGATCTCGTCTCCATAGAGACGTTTTCAACATAATGGGAACACGAGAGATTTGCCTCGGAGCGGCTGTCCACGAGTGTCATCACGTCACCAAGACAACCACATTCGACTGCCCCTTTGACTGCTCGGAACATTTACTGCCTCACCGCGCGGTTTTTCTGGGGTTTTTCTATCTCCAACGTCACCGAGAGGCACGTCTTGCCTGGTGCCGACAGCGTCTACGGTACAGGACACAAGATTGGGATTGTTTTTTTATTCACTGACTAGTCGAGATTTCATCTGGACAGCTCAGATCGTATGGCAAGGGTGTAATGACGGTGAGATGAACGGTATGCTGACGCGTGTGTTGTTCAACGTCGACAGTCTGGTGTCTACAGCTTTATGGTGTGACGCATCGCATCTCAAGGTCAGACACAACATGTCCTTGTCAATTGTAATCTGACAGGTCGGCGATACAGGGTGGAGATCATTGGCTTCTTTGATTGGTATTCTAGAAGTTGAGGAGATGAAGAATGAGGACAATATTTATGGATAAATTCAAGGACAGAGACGTAACTGAGACCATTCCGGTACTCCCCTGGCAAGCCGTTTTCTCCGGACCTACACCCAATCGAGCACGCTTGGGAAGAAATGGAGCGACGTTTATGTCAACCCAGAATCAGCCACTGATGTTAGCGGAATTGGGACAAGCTTTGGTTCAGACATGGAACAAGCTTTCTTCAAACGCTTAGTGTCGTCTATGCGTCGTTGTTGTCAAACCCATCAACGCCAATGGTGGACACACACGATACTGAATTTGTAAACTGACATCTGACACCACATCTCTTCCAGGGCGTGTCACGGTGCCCAGTGTCAAATCATACAGATTTCGATATTATCCTGTCATGATTGACAGTGATTAAGGACAATACCACAAATCAAATTATCTTTTCACATCAAAAATTGGAATAAAATCAAATAATGCACAGTTACTTTATTCCAGTAGTATACTTCAGGACACGGAGAAACCAAAGAATTTATGTGTATTTATATTACGTTTCCGGACCAGGCTTGGGGATCGGCATGCTTATCATATCCGGAGGGGTGATAGTTTACTACAGTACCACCTGTGCCTGGGCCGTGTACTACATGATCTACTCCTGTAGAACAGTTCTTCCCTGGACCAGCTGCGACAACACCTGGAACACTGAGAATTGTGTTGAAAACATGAAGTTAATGACGGGTAAGATTATTGTATGTATATGTATGGGGATGGATATGCTCTCCTTGTAAAACGTATACGGTCACCAGGATACAGTAAACACCCGTTATCATCACTATTTGGTTCTGATTCATAAAACCTGGCTAATGATACAGTCTGAACCGTTCAATCGACTAGTATACGGCGGTCACGGGTGATGTGAAATATCAAAACCTTTCCGATGACACAAGTTAAGTGATCGGATCCATAAACCTTGTTTTTATTGCTGCCAGTAGATTGGTAATACTATATCAAATGAACAGTACAATATTTTCATTTGTTATTGGCTTATCAAATCTATGTACTTCGGTTTGAACACTATATGGGGAAGCACACGTACGTTCGTAAACGAAAAGGGGTGCGTCGATTCATCTGCTCTGCTCAAAACCATGGTTTATCGTGAATAGTGTCTTTTAAGGGCTAATTATGTTATGTTACTTTCAGCAAGTAGCTCCGCCGTTCCAAACGAAACTCAAGTCAACAAATCATTGGCAGTCACCACAAATCTTACTGACAGCGTTGGGGAGAATGAAACGTTATTCCACACTGCAGCTGAAGAGTTCTGGCAGTATGTAGACACATGTTCAAGAACAAGAGCCTTTGTATCATTCTTTGATTGTTTTCAGACCTGTCTGTAAAACCATTTGCCTATATTTAGGTCACTTTTACTTTCAGTTACACTATCCTTATATTTACTTAAGATTGACTAATGACTACTATTAGCAGGTACTTTAGGGGAGAGATTTTGAATAGGGACTTGATGTAATATTTTATTTCAGCAAACATTAATTTCGTATCGAGATATAATATCCTGAAGTCGGAACATTATGATGGAATGATTACCAACGTGGCTTACAATTACATTGTACTGTGGGAACAGTTGTATTCCTCATGTAAGTTGCTGACGATCTATAGCCCGCGTTTTACATTGTATTGTCTTCTTTGATTAAAATGTTTCAGTTTTGCATCGTAGTTGTAAATTCATATCTGTGATAATCTAGTACTTTTACTGTCCATCGTTGACAGGTTTTACTCTTCAGAATGTTTCCATCTTCAGAATGTTTTCATCTTTATTGTATAAATTGTTTTCGTCACATTGCCGATGTGACGTTAAATATTAACTCACTCACTCACTATTCCTCATGTAATGCCTCTTATTGCTCAGTTTCAGTGTCATTTTCGATTCTTACACCAGTACACACATATCTGATGACGAGATCAAATCAACCGTGACTTGTTTTCAGATACAAGGTCCTCAGCATCAGCTCAGGACTGGAACATCTGGGAGGCATCAAGTGGGAACTCGCTCTGTGTCTCCTTGTCACCTGGATTTTAATATTCAGCAGTCTGGTGAAAGGTATCAAATCAATTGGAAAGGTAATGCCCACTCTTTTTAGTATCTTAGTGTCTCTCCTACCAGAATGATGTCCTGTACCTCATGACTGATGTAAAAGTTTGATTTTATTTAGGAAATGTAGTTTGCCCTATTGTCTCTGGAACTGAAAGAATCATTCCATCCCCTTAATATCAAATGGTACATCTGGATACTAAACGGTTCCGGCTGTGTATCCAGGATGGAAAAAAAAATATTAGAAAGGATCGTTTTCATTTCCCTGAAGCTTGTCACCGGATCAGAAATAATGACAGAAAAAGATACAGTCACTCTCTATCTGTTCTTGATCAAGGTTTCAATGAAGACATGTTGATGAGTTTCATTCTTCTGCTTTTACTTTGTCCTTTCATTTCCATGTTGACCTACCTCTTAATGAACAAATATCTATGATGTTGCTATGTAATTGCACATAAGCCGTCTATACATTGAAGGTTATTTACTCTTGTTAATCTGCTTTGTTTAGGTTGTGTACGTGACGGCGACAATGCCATATGTGTTTCTCTTCATCCTGCTTGTCCGTGGACTGACTCTACCTGGCGGACCACAAGGTGTTCTGTTCTTCATCACTCCTGATTTCAACAAATTAACGGACGTGCAGGTGCGTGATGGAAATGTATAAATACCTTTCAATTATTTCTTTCAGTTTGGGCCAGAATGACTATCTTGGACAGTCATGAGATAAAACGAACATCATGGTTAATGGCAATGATATTGGCATTCTCCTAGTCGCCCCCATTCCCGTCTTCATGGAACACAACAAGCACATACTGAACAACAGGAACCGACGTCCGTTCCGCGGCAGTGCACTCCCGGCCTTTCAGCATTTATCATGTTTGTATTCTAATGTTGTATTTCTGTATGTTTCAGATTCTCATGATCATGCATCGTTCATGTCATATGGCATGATGGTGGGTTATGGCTGTCGAGCCGTTATAATACGGTAATATGGTATTGTATGCCATATGTCGGCTGTCGAGCAGTTATAATACGGTAATATGGTATTGTATGCCATATGTCGGCTGTCGAGCCGTTATAATACGGTAATGTTGGAAGGTATTCTGCTGATCTCAAAAACCCAGAATAAGCCAGTAAACATACAGCTAATATTCTCAAATCAGCCAATGATGCATTTTCACTCCTGGAATCGTACACTTTATGCAGAATATCAATATCAACAGGCTCCTTCTTCGTTACAGGCTTAGCTAATTTACGTCTGGCTGCTTCTAGAACATTCTTTACCAAACCATTATCTATAGCCCGATTTTATATTGTGTTGTTTTGAAATGATTTAACATTTTACACTGAATTCAAACTAGTTTTAATCGAATTGTGATATTCTAATCGTTATACTGTCCTTCGATGGCAGGTTTTTAAATAAGTATACATATGTTTATTCTTAGTACAAAACCTTTTGTCGTTACAATATGGCTGAAATATTGCCGAGGTGACGTTAAATATTACCTCACTCACTCAAGATGTTCCTGTAAGCCTTTATTAACATCTTTTTCAAGGAGTTCAGCCAGGAAAGGTAAATTTGATACAGGTCTGTAGTTGTTCAACTGATTATTTTCGAGGGTAGGTTTCTTCAGTGTAGGCTTAATAGAAGCCTTCTTGAGTGGAGGGGGGACGACTCCTGTCTGGAGACTCGTGTTGATTAACTTTGTGATGACAGGAAGAAGTACATCAACATGTTCCAACAAGAACTTTGCGGGAAGTGGGTCTAAGGCACATGTTGTTGGTTTAGACTGACTGATCAGCACCAGAACCTCTGCCGGAGTAAGCGGAGGAAAGGCTGTGAGAACATCACCAGCAAATTCATCACTCGTGAAACCAATATCTGAAGATAAGGCATCTAGGCCAGATATTATCTTTTCTATTTCAGCTTGGAAATAATCACTGAAGCTTGACGCTAGCTTTAAATAATCATATGTATGAGGCAGTAGCTCCGATTCAGAAATGCTATTCTTGAATTCACTTTGAGACATCTGTTTGATATTCCTACACTACACGGGTGTAGATTTGTGAATAGCCATATCCACGGAGATGAAGAAGTGATCCGACATCTGTCTGTCCAATACAGTAATATCTTTGATCACATTATCTTTTGCCGTACAATCACCCAGTCCGGAATATGGCCATTCTGATGAGTTGCTGTAATGACTATCTGTTCCAATCTGTGAGCCTCCAGAAGTCGGACAATCTTAGTGGTATCAAACCTGGAACTATCGTCATAGTGAATGTCTCCGATGATCATAAATTTGCATTTATCAACATTAAGTGCATCCAAAAATTGAGAAAAGTCAGCAAAACACTGTGGAAACTATAATGTGTTTACTTTAGACTGCGGAGGTCTGTAGATACACAGAATCCTGATTGTTTCCTCTTGAAGAGTGACAAGTGTCTCCATCAGTTCAATGGATTTGAAGTCATGGTTGTGAGTAACCACATGTTGCACCCTCATATACTCTCTATACAATAAAAGGATACCACCACCAGGTGAGTGTATCCACGGAACATGCTTGAGTTTGTGTCAGCTCAGAAAGCGTGACTTCTTCTCCCCGAGCTTTCAACCATGTCTCTATAATGAACATCATGTCAATATTTTCATCCATGATAAGATCACATATTTCCAAAGATTTGTATTGAAATATATATACTGAAATACATATTGTATTGCCTATAGTTTTACATTTAAGTCCTAGTGCAACATCTGCTTCTGTTGTGTTCTAGTTGTTTGTACTGCCTTTTGTCAACGGGTTTATATATTCTAAGTGTCTAGTGTCTCATCAACGTATAACTTGTTTTAGTAACGATATGGCTGAAACACTGTCGATGTGAAGAATCTCAACTCACTCACCTAGACCCTATGACTCCTGTTAATCCAACCCTGAACTTTCCCACTTCAGCATGCTCTTCATGCCCTCTGTTTGAGGAAGTTGCACAGGTACTGTTTCTTTCCTTTTCCGAGCATCTTTGACGTCATCCTGGCTTTGATTTTTTGTGCTAGTTATAAACATTGGTAGCAAAACAAGGTGGCAGTGTTATCATATTACTGCAAGTCTGGTGAGTAACAGAGACTTAAATCAAATTATCACATACATGTGAGTATTGATTTAACGGCTTACATCAAGGGGATATTGAAAATTGTTGTTGTTTGTTTTCTTTTTATGTTGTTGCTGTTAAGAAACTGACTATAGAATCATAGCGTGGATTGGGTATCCACCAAGAATAAGTCAATGATCTTGCTTATATTGTTGTAGGTGTGGGTAACAGCATGTGTTCAGGTATTTTTCTCACTGGGGCCAGGATATGGAGGTCTTATATCAATGGCTAGCTACAACACCTTCCACAGCAATTGTTTGAGGTAATTGAGTTACATATATTACTGGAATAAAGTAACTGTGCATTATTTGATTTTATTCAATTTTTTAATGCTTAAGTGTTGGCAGGGTAATATCGAAATCTCTATTATTTGACACTTGGCATCATGACACGCCCTGGAAGAGATGTGGTGTCAAATGTCAGTTTACAAATTCAGTATCGTGTGTGTCCACCATTGGCATTGCTGCAGGCTTGACAACGACGACGCATAGACGACACTAAGCGATTGAAGAACGCTTGGGGAATGTTGTTCCATGTCTGAACCAACGTTTGTCCCAATTCAGCTAACGTCAATGGCTGATTCTGTGTTGACGTAAACGTCGCTCCATTTCATCCCAAGCATTCTCAATAGGGGACAGGTCCGGAGAAACAGCTGGCCAAGGGAGTATCGGAATGTTCTGCTGTCTCGGGAAATTCTGTCACAACACGAGCGACATGTGGACGGGCTCTGTCCTTAAAGAACGGATGCGCATGAGCCCCAATGATCTCGCAGACCTGTCAGATTGCCATTGGCAATGACAAGCTATGTCCGATCATGAGATGTACTGTCCCCCACCATACCATAACGCTGTTACCACCAAATGTCAACCTGGAACAACGCAAGTATCAGCATACCGTTCACCTCGCCGTCAGTTCACCCTTGCCCTGACATCTGAGCTGTGAACAAAACACCTTGCCAGTCGTGTCTCCCCCGTGTTTCATAAATGCTGTCAGCACCATGTGTATTTAGGGTTATTTTTATAACTTTTCAAAATAACTTTTATCTTATGCAATTTTATTTCATGTACAGTTTCTTTTTGTCGTTAGTTAACTATGATGTATACTTGCTCAGATATTGATAATATTTTCGATTAATGATAACTATTACATTCGAATAAAAAACATACCTTCTGATAAAACATTGAGAAATATATGTTCTGTACATCTGACATGAAATAGATCAGATAACTATGCAAATTACGACAATCCACGAACTACTTTCACAAAACTCCATACACACCATGCGAATCCTAAAGCATAAACATTTCATTGATGACGTCGTTGCGAGCTTACATTGTTTGTAAACAAATATGGCTGCCCCCATTCTCAAAATTAGTGATTCTGTAAGAATTCATGACAGGGGTTCTGGAGTCGTTACTGCAGTAAATGACTTTAGAAAACATGAAACGGAGTCCTTCTTTCAAATTGAAGGTACGGATTATGAGGCACGACTGAGAGGCAATCGTCTAAGAAAGATACCACCAATGATTTTTTTTTAATAATTATAGAATGACATTGTATGAAAGGCTCGCATAATACAATTTTTATTCCTAATATACGGAAACACACGAAGTTAATAATCTCTGTGTATTTCACCCCTGAGACTGATTTCAGTTTGTTCATTTTGTCCCAAGGAACGCAATCATCTGTACACTGGCGTGTGGAGGATCAAGCTTGTTTGCGGGATTAGTTGTATTCGCGTTTCTTGGATCCATGGCTCACGAAGCCAACGTCCACATCACAGATGTTTTGTCCTCAGGTGTGTGGTTAAAAATATTGAGATTTAAGCAATTCTATCAGTCCAACTGGAGGAATGCAAGACGTTTTCGGAATCCTCTGATTGCGTTTAATCCTGTTCCTCGAGACGTTTGGTTCAGTTCTCAATTCTACCTCGGTTTGGAGGCCTAACGTTATGCTGACTATCCAGCCCCTTTGTATTTCTGAGTAAAGGTTTTCCTTTTAAAATGTTCTCAAAATATGATGAATTGCTAGATGTTGCGGGTCCACTGTGCACATAAGTTTATTATGCATTTATTAAAGTGTAACTCTTTCCGGTAACAAACAAGCTCAAACACTTTCTACATTAGTTATTGGGTTTTTTCCAGGGCCCGGTCTTGGCTTTATCATTTACCCAGAAGCACTGGCTCAACTTCCGCTCCCACAAATATGGAGTGTTCTGTTCTTTGTCATGCTGATTTTTCTGGTACAAGATTCTTTGGTGAGAAGCCACTCATACATATATGTACAAGACAAGGGTGATGAGGGTAGGCCCGTGGGTAAAGTATTTATTTAGTTCGATTTCACACAAAATACATTGTTTGTGTTTCACACCAATATACATATTCTCCTTCTTTCAGAGACGAGATTTAACAGTTTTTATTTATCTTCATTACTGATATTCAGTGATTTCATATGAAGTCACAAGAATCAAACACAAAAGGATTACCAGAGACAGCTAGATATGTATGTATAGTATGTAAGCAAACAAACACGTTAGAACACATCCTTCAACATGAAGTATTTTACCGGGACGGAACAGATTATTCAGAAAATTGTAAAGCTAGTGTGCTTTGTGTTGTTATAGTTTTCAACCGTAGAAACAGTAATATCGGCCATCTTGGATGAATATTCCTTCCTGCTGAAATGGAGAATCCCTGTGACTGCTGCCTACTGTCTCGTGTCGTTTTTGCTGGGGCTTATATTCACCACTGAGGTTTGCAAACAGTTTCTACCTCACAAGAATGAATTATTTAATGAATTAATACTTTATAAAATTTAAGACTAAAGTTGCACATATAAATACATGAAGCATGTTTACCATGCAAAAAGGAAACACAACACTAGAGGAGTAAATGTCTGTTGATTTCTTGGTCAACAACCTTTACCATTGTGGACAAACCCCTTACATCTTAGCAGTTATGCGAAGGTGTCAGAACGGTCAGGGCCGAACTAGAATGAACTGTGTAAATGTTGTCCCAGAGCAATTTAACCAACGAAGCTGGAGTATAACATATTCGCATGAATGGTCGTTGGAGATACGTGGGACAGTGATGTAAGCCGTTAGCCCCATCTCCATCAATGGAGTATATCCAGACAGTTGACTCTGAAATGTGCTGCCTTGTTGTGTATTTGGTAAAAGCCACCAGTGACCAAGGGGCAGTACTGTCCATGTAAACCTTTAACAGTGTACTACACATTTCAAATATCCCTCGTAGGTATACTGAGAATCTTACAATTATACCGAACATTTGAAATATCTTTCTTGATTTTTCGAAATATGTTTTGCCATTTTTCAGGGTGGAATGTACGTGTATCAACTGGTTGACTGGTACATAGCCACCTTATTCCTCTTCTCTGCTGGATTTCTGGAGTGTATAATTCTTGCATGGGTATATGGTAAGGCTCAGATTTTTCTGTTTATTAGATTTTGTGACAATTTAGTGGAAATCAAGTTGTATTAGCCACTGTCAACACCACTGTACTTCCGGGTAAATATTTGTCTTCAGCAACCAGTCCCTGTGTATTTAGAAGGCTGTTCGGGTTCGTTCCTATCTCTTACTTGGCTAATGCATGTCTCTGATCGATAAACTCGAAGACAATTACACTGGTCCAGACACGGTACGACGCCGTCATGTAGCTGGACTATAGCTCATCAAATTGGGTTAAAGTATCGTAAACTTATTGTCCTCCTGCGAGGGTACCTAAGTCCTAAAATATTCGAGGTAAATTTAGTTCTACCAAACTTAACCTTTAATCATAAAATATTTGTTATTTTAAATAATGGCTAAACTCAGTAAAATCCCCAGCGGCTGAAGGGATGGTTTAAATCCTGCTATGGTCCATGCAGTTAGCAAAAGCACTGTAAATCCCCATGGCCCAAACTATGGTGATCTACGTTCAGTTGTTGGCAATCTATAGCCTGTTGTCCTCTATGGTTAAAACTGTTTTAGATTTATTTACTAATTATACATTTCTCTCTGTGATATTCTAGTTGTTTTATTGTCCTTCGTTGATAGTTGATTATTTAAAAGTAAATTACCTTTAAACAATATTCATCTATAACTTGATTTAGTCACGATATGGCTGAAATATTGAAATGTTATCTCACTCACTCACTGGACTATAGCTTAGTGAGGCGCCAAACAACAAACCAAGGTTTTTATCACGAAAATCATACCACGTGTTGGTTAATCTTATACATTTACCAGGAAATATTTTGGACTTTGATATAGATTGTTCGTATCATCGCACGTCTGGTGACTATTTTTCTACGAAACCTAAAAGGGATAAACTGAAACTCAAAATTATATTATTTTATGGGGCAGGCATGATTAACATTCCCAACAGAAACTGAAACTCTCAGGAGAGTCAATATTGTTGCAATCGAAAACGTATTACAGTGAGTTGCAACTTTGCATTAAATACGTTTAGTTACATAATGTCAAACTCAAAAGTACAATAAATCGTCTTCATGAACAGTAATATATTTAAATTTTCATAACTGATAGAATAAATACAGTCGGTCATTTTGATTCCCCCGAACAAACTGAATCCTTGGTAGTAGGTTAAGCATCACACTGCAAAAAAAACGTTCATTAGATGCATCAACCCGGCGGCAATTTATATTTTCCTCAAATTGCCTTTACAAACAAACCATTTCCCCTTAGTACAAAACAAGAACTGAACAACGCAGGACATAATAAAACTGTGTAAAAGCACACACATGTAACGTGAATTTTCACAGACAGTTAAGAACAAATTTCTACTGCATGAATTGCCTGTGTAATTATCCATAAGCAACCATGTCGCCACACATTTTTAACATACCTATTACAAGTAGATCAGAGCCGAAGTGAAAAACAAGCATGTTCTCTTTTTCACTTTTGTATCAAATAATGATATGATATAATAAATTGTGTGCAGCAACACATTAGGAAAATAAAATAAGAATATTAAATTGTATTATAGCCTAAACATGCTTTCCTCAAAACGATCTCTAAAGTGACAATGAGTGCCTTCTGTATTTCTTTATTCTAGGAGTTAATCGTATCAGTGCCGATGTTGCACTAATGATCGGGAGACCGGCCCCATTGTTCTTCAGAATATCATGGTTTTTCATCACTCCCGCAATGCTCCTGGTAAGAATATTTATATTATTATTGTTCGTCTCGATTAGGCAGTGCGTCCTGGAAGAAGTTCCATTCACTATAAGGGCTGCGTATAGTGGGGCAAGGGCCTTGACCTGATGATGAGCCGAAACTGATTGTGTCATAACCCGACTCCTCCTTACTTCATGTACTTTAATAAGATATAAAACTTAGATCAAAAGAACTAAATATAATAATTTACTTATTTAATGTCGTTTGCGCGGTCGTCCCTTCCTGATTCCATCAAAGCAGACCATTGTAATATCGGAGCGGAGGTGTATGTCCCCGATCAACTCTGGTGTTACAAATGTAAAAAATTATTTCATGGTCCCAACACTGACTGCAAGAAGGATTTCGGATGCTGCAATTGTGATGGCAAACATGCTGCACCATCGAACCCTTGCCCAGTGAGAGTGAATTAAGTTTTACGGCGCACTCAGCAATATTCCAGCTTTTGGGCTGCTCATACCGTGTGTGGCAAACGGAATCCCAGATACTGAAACTGAAGTGTCTAAATAATATCTCATACCTGGAAGCAGACTCAGACAACATCTCCAATAAGTAAAGCCTGCTCTGCTGCAGTCTCTGTAGTAACATCATCCATACGTGTCAAACTGACTTGACATGGGTCAAGACAGAAAAGCCTGTTGCTTCAACCTCAATCATCCGACCTACTCACAGAACTATTCTATCTACGATTACACATTCCATTTAGAAAGTGGTAAAATGTAACATATGTTATATTTGTGATTACACTTTCTTAGTGAAGTACTAATTCTAGTACTTTGGGGGGCAGAGGAGGGTGGGGGGGGCAAACTACCCTCCAACAGCTCCTCATCCGCTCCAAACTTGACTACGCCTCCATTGTATGGTGGAGCCTGCAAAAGCAACCCTAAACTATTATATTCTGTCCATCACCAAGGTCTAAGACTTTGTCGTGGATCCTTTCGAAATTCTCATGTTTACAGTCTCCCTGTCGAGGCCGATGAACCTTGTCGAAAACATAACGGTATCAAACTCATTGCAAAACGTTAAAAAAATTGTTTTCCAATGAGCCCAACCCTGCATACAACTGTGTTTTTAATCCTCGTTATGAGGATTTGTATGATAAAAGATCTTCACTTATTCCACCTCTTGGAATACGAATTAAATCTTTCCTTTCTGCTGCTGGCATTGAGCTAGAACATATCTCTCCTTCCCGTTTGATTTCCACGCCTCCTTGGCAATTAAAACAACATTTAAACAATCAGAAACTAATGGATTGCAATATAGACAAGAATGTAATCAATTAAAAGTAAATATAATAGATAGAAATCCCTTTTTACAGATGGGTCCAAGGATGGTGGCGCAGTGGCTTGTGCCTCTGGTATTGGATCCAGAACAATATCTCTTAGATTACTAAAAGACAGATCAGTCTTCACAGCAGAAGCAAACACCATATTAACAGCCTTAAAATATATTAATACACAGCCCAAATATTAACAATCTATAGTATCTTCAGACTTCAGGCCATTAAAACATATCTGTTAAACATCCACTTTTAATTGAAATAATCGAGTAATATAATGATCTTGCTATTGGCCAATTCGACATTTTCTTCTGTTAGTTACCCAGTCATGTTGGAATTTTTGGTAACAGAATGGCCAATTTTACTGCTGAAGCCACCCTCAACAAATCTGAGATACCACTTCTAATCCCATACACTGATAATAAAGCTGTGATTATACCATATATCCGTGATCAAATGCAAAAGAAGTGGGACACTTAGTACCTACATACATAAGTTGCATCAAATAATACCAACAATTGGTTACACCTACATGTTGTACTTGGGTTGTTAGTCCAGATTTGAGGAGATCAGTATGCGACGATGTCTTGTTGTCCATGCTAGACACGCACGAATGCTTATTAAAGGTCACATGCAACCAGAATATCAAACATAAATAAAACACAATTATCACTTATTCATGACATATAATATACATTGCTGATTATGAAAAAACATATAAACAAAATTATAAGCGTACAATCGCATATAAAAAGTGCAATATTTTGTACTTGGGTTTACTTCCCTCGAAACGAAGCACCCGGGATACCGAACCCAGTCAGAGCGGGTGGGTGTGCACTCAAGTGTAACGGCTGGTTAATTTGCCGATGCCCTCACGGCTCATTGTGTGTGTGTATAGAGATGTTGGGTTTTTGTGTATAAGATTTTGCAATCAACATGTGTACATGTCATGTGTACAAGTATCACACCTGCCTGTGTGTGTAATTACATAATGTGACAGAGACCGAACTCGGGCCATAAATCAATGCGTTTTGTTTATGGTGTTTAGCCTGACTGGTGTTAAGTTCAAATTGCATGTGGTCAGTGATCGAAGTTGTGTATTGAATATTGTCATTAGCAGACAGGCAGGCAGACACATAGGTTTTGTCTGTGACAACGACATATCTATATCACAGTTAGAAATTCTGTCAACGCTAAATAATGACATTGCTTTTAAGTATCGAACTGAGAAAGTGACTCGGTAAGAAGAACGTGTGGCGAAATAGGCAAAAGAAATTATATAATCAGCTAAATCTGTAATCTACTGTCATAACATATCTAAAGCTCGCACCTGTGAAATATCAACAAAACATTAGTAAAATAGCTCACATCAAAGCCTTCACCGAGTATTCACCGCCAGCGAAGGTTTTCCGTCTTGAAATGTCGAACGCCTCACTGGTTGACACATAGCTAAGTAGATGTAGATCCTAACAATGTTCTTTTATGTAATGAGTAGATTATTTACTATTTGTTTTGATTAGACTACTCCTGCTCACAACCTTATAATCCGAAGATCCCGCTTCCAAGCTGCGCGAACCTATTTCACTGCGCATGTGCTATTAGCGCAGCCCACCATCAGAATGTGCAAAGTCGTGTTTTGCGTTGCATGTGACCTTTAAAAAGGTGAGGATCCTCTGTTTTGTATCCCTTGTGATGACAGAATCACGGTCTAGCATGTCTTGCTTGGGTGTATTGATTTTTCCATCACAAGGAATAAGTATTTCAATGTCAAAACATTGAAGGATGTTTTAGTGTGAATTATCTTGTAATCATTTCATTTTTTGAAAGAAATAGAATTGTTAGATAAATTTGGATTGGTTTAAATAAATATTATTATGTTTTATTATTGGTAGTTTGAATTGTTAGTGTCTGTATCCTCGAAGGGGTTAAAAAGTGTAGTCAAATTATTGTCCTGCTTAGAGGGTACGTAAGTCCCAAAACAATTAAAGTAAATTTAATTTACATGCTACTATCTTTAATCGCAGTATATATATATATATGACTAGACTGTTAAAATTGCTAATAGCTGAAGGGAGAGTGTAAATCCAGCTAGGGTCCATGCAGGAGGCAAATGTTCTGTACGTTCCCATGGTCCTTAGTATGCGTATGGTGATCTACCTTCAGTTGTTGGCTATCAATAGTCTGTTTTTACATTATCTTGTAATTTATAGTTGAACTGTTTTAGAGTTATTTACTAGTTTTATATTTATAACTGTGATAATCTAGTTGTTTTACTGTCCTCCGTTGACAGCTTGTAATAAATTACCTTTAATTATAATGAATCTATAACTTGATATAGTCACGATATGGCTGAAATATTGCCGATGTGGCTTAAAATCTAACTGACTCACTCATTAAAAATAATAATTACATTGTTTGTCTCCATTTTGTCTTTTCAGGCAATATTCATTTTCACTCTGGTTCAGTACCAGCCTCCCACATATGGCAACTACATCTATCCTGATTATGCTGCTTCCTTTGGTTGGTGTCTGGCAGTGATTCCCTGTATCCCCTTGGTCAGTGTGATGTTCGTGGTGATTTACAAAGAGGAGGGAACGGTACTGCAGGTACTAAAACGTGGTGCATTGAACACAAGCTTGACTCAATATTGTAAAGTTGGTATGTTGCTCATTACCAGAATTTTAACTGTAGAATGTTTGTAGTTTCAATATATGGCTAAATTGCTGAAAAATTGCCAACAGCTGAGGTGGTGATATAAATACAGCTAGGGTCCATGCAGGTAGCAAAAGTAATGTAAGTCCCAATGGTTCCTAGTATGGTGATCTACCTTCAGTTGCTGGCGATCTATAGCCCGAATTTATATTGTGCTGTTTTGAAATGATTTAGCATTTTATACTGAACTCAAACTAGTTTTAATTAATTTGTGATATTCTAGTCGTTATACTGTCCTTCGCTTTTTATAAATGTATAAGTATATCTATTCTTAGTACATAACTTTCTGTCGTCACGATATGGCTGAAATATTGCCGATGTGACGTAAAATTGTAAGTCACTCACTCACTTGTAAAGTTGAATTTATTATTTTCCTTCAAGATTTCAGTCAGGCCAATATGTTTAAAACTTGCCTGACAGGCGGGTTTGTGGAGGAAGTACTTCTGAATGAATCATTGGTTGGTGGCAATTCGGTCATTAGCAAAGTCACTGTTTAACGTTCATTTAGTACTCCTGGCGAATAGGAGTGCAGGATTTTAAATGTTATTTATCAAAAACATGGTCCAGTGCTATAAGTCGATCGTATGACTGTATTCAGCATTGTGTAATAAGAGCCCTTCCTAATCACTTTTTTTCTTGTTATTTCATAGAGGCTGAGGAAGAGCTTGAAACCTGATTGTTCTTGGGGTCCGGCAAAATCGTCATGTCGAGAAGTTATTTGTCACACATACAGAGCACAACCCTACAGTGACTCGTGTGAGAAAACAATGCTGTGAAATGCTAGACCTCCTTGTAGATGGCATACGTGTTGGCTTTGGGAACAGGACTTTCAGGTGGCATCTCCAGCCACCATATGTGCTCCCTTCCATGCTCTGGCATTGTCAAAACAAAGAATTTGGCCGTAAACCCTAACATAACTACAA